TTACTTTCTTCGGCTCCAGGAATCGTTCACTACCTCAGGTTGTTTCGATGGCGAAAACCACTAAGTTATTGCGACGAGGCAACTGCCAGGGTTATCTGGTGTGCCTTGTTGAGGATTCTCAGAAAGCGCGGACACCTCATGATGTTCCAATTATTCGCGAGTTTGTGGACGTGTTCCCAGACGAGCTTCCAGGAGGACCGCCCAACCGTCAAGTGGAGTTTTCTATCGATCTTATCCCAGGGGCCGGTCCAGTATCCAAAGCCCCATATCGCATGGCGCCTAAGGAGTTGCAGGAGCTTAAAACTCAGATTCAGGAGCTGTTACGACTCGGTTTCATCCGACCGAGCGTGTCACCGTGGGGAGCACCCGTTCTCTTTGTCAAGAAGAAGGACGGATCTATGCGCATATGTATCGACTACCGAGATCTTAACCGGTTGACGATCAAGAACAAGTACCCGCTTCCCAGGATCGACGACTTATTTGATCAGCTGAGTGGAGCATGTGTGTTGTCGAAGATTGATTTACGATCAGGCTACCACCAGCTGAAGATTAAGGAGTCAGACATCGCTAAGACCGCTTTCAGGACTCGTTACGGCCATTACGAGTTCGTCGTCATGCCTTTCGGTCTCAGCAATGCGCCAGCTGTTTTCATGGACCTCATGAACCGTATTTTTCATCCCTACCTCGATCAGTTCATTATTGTCTTTATTGACGATATCCTTATCTACTCGAAGAGCCAGAAGGAGCACGAGGAGCATCTGAGGGTGGTTCTCGAAACCCTCAGACGAGAAAAGTTATACGCCAAATTCTCCAAATGCGAGTTCTGGCTTCAACGAGTATCCTTTCTAGGTCATGTGATTACTCAAGCAGGTATCGAGGTGGATCCTTCTAAAGTTTCAGCCGTTCAAAACTGGTCGACACCGAGGAGTCCGTCCGAGGTTCGCAGTTTTCTCGGTTTAGCTGGTTATTATCGCAGGTTTATCGAGGGCTTCTCCAAGATCGCCCTCCCTCTTTCCCAGCTGACGAGGAAGTCTGTGAAATTCGAATGGACTGACCGATGTGAGGCGAGCTTTCAGGAGCTCAACAGGAGATTGACTTCAGCACAGGTGTTGACTATTCCCGATCCTTCTCGGAGTTTCACTATCTTCAGCGATGCTTCGAGACAGGGCTTGGGATGTGTCCTTATGCAGGACGGACAGGTCGTTGCGTATGCTTCACGTCAGCTTAAGCCTCATGAGCAGAACTATCCTACGCACGACTTAGAGTTAGCAGCAGTCGTTCATGCTCTGAAGATCTGGCGTCATTATCTTTACAGCGGACGTTGCGAGATTTTCACAGACCATAAGAGCCTGCAGTATATCTTCACGCAGAAGGAGCTTAATATGAGGCAGCGCCGTTGGCTTGAGCTTGTTAAGGATTATGATTGTTCTATCCAGTACCATCCGGGAAAGGCGAACGTCGTCGCGGATGCCCTAAGCCGAAAGGTGAAGGGTGACTTGACGTACGCATTACGCAGCAGAGTCCGTTGATTCATGAGTTTGCCCGGATGCAGCTTCAGGCGATTGATGCACTTCCCATAGCTGTCTCGGGGAGTACCAGTGCCAGTGTCAGTGCTATGCAGCTTCAGCCGACACTGAGAGAGAGAATCCGGCGAGAGCAGGCTTCTGACGAGTTTGTTCGTGTCATGGAGGCCAAGGTTCGCGCCGGAGGTGTCCAGGATTTTCAGCTAGGCGCCGATGGTGCCTTGGAGTTCAGAGGTAGGATCGTGGTCCCGAAGGTCGAGGCGTTGCGGAAGGAGATTCTATCAGAGGCACATACCGCACCCTATTTGGTCCATCCCGGGAGCACGAAGATGTATCACGACCTGAAAGGGTCGTTCTGGTGGCGAG